ATAAATAATATTTTAATATAAAAGTAAAATATGTAAAAAGTAAAGTGTGAGTATTATAATAAATTTATTACAGAATTGATAAAAATGTAACGTGAAAAGTAAAGAAAAAAATTATAGAAAATTGATTATTATTTGTTAAAATATGAATATAAAATTGTGAGTGAATACAATTATTTATTATAAATTAATAGTAAGTGAATTTAACGGACAATAAAAAAAAAACAAAAAGCTTAATATAATTATAGCGGATGAAGAAAGTATTTATTAAAGCATTAATAACAAAATTAGGAGTAAATAAAATTATTTATTATAAATATATTGCGCATAAATTTAATAGATTTAAAATATAAAAAAAACTAAGATAAATATAATATATAAAAAAAAATATTTTTAAATAAAAATAAATATTTTATGTAATATTTTGAATGATAAATAAAAGCTAAATGTAAGATCTTGAAGGGGAAAAGAATGATAAATTTAAATAAGAAAAAATGTGACCATACCTTGAATGTTGAATACCATCTTCGTTCCAATTCAAATTATTCATTTTATTTATTTTTTATTGTCACAATTCAAAGTATTTATTCTTATTTTTTAAAAAAATAATAATACATTAATATCAAAATATTTTTTAATTTTTATTTAAAATTCTAACAATTACTTTATACATAAAAATTAAAAAAATAAAAATGTTCCACTAATCAAAATCTCAAAAGGTCCCATCGAATTTAGACGAAGAAATATTAATTTATATTTTTTTAGGTGAAAATAAATATCAAATATAATATTTAAAATAATACTCCGTAATTACAAAAAAATTTGAATAGGAGAAAAGTAAATGTTAAATTAATATGTGCTTGATAAATTCATACTACCAATATTCTTTTTATTGATTGAGGGTTTTTTTTATTATTTATTTAAAATACAATCGGTCTTTTTGCATTTCTTTAAATTACTGTTTTTATGTTTTTCTCATTTTTTTAAAACATATTTTATTTATATTTTTATTACATTATTTATCTAAATTGCAGATAAAATATTGACCAATATAAGTTCATGTTGCCATGTGGGCAATTCAGACTCTTCACGTGTCAGCAGGATGTCTGACATTCTATCATGCCACGTCAGCACTTAGACGGACGCACTTACACATATGTCCATTTATATTACATATATATACAAATAAATAAATAAATATCCACAAATGCGAAGCAGCCAGGAATATGATGGACAATTAATTAATTAATTAATTAACTGTTAAATAATTTAAGCCCAAAATCAACAAATCAGTTCATCACGGAACTTGAAAGCTTAAATTAAATAAAAATTCATAGACGTCATTGCTTATGAAACTAAAATATTTTTGATTAATCAGACCATTATATAAATATGTATATATATATATACATTAGTTTTACATTTATATTACTTTCTCCGTGTCTGCTCATTTGGATCGGACACGAGTTTTAATCAAAGTGAGTAATAATGGTTACTTTTTTCGTAATAATTTTTTACTTAAAAAAAGTAACGAGAATATTTTTTAATGATAATCCAAAAAATAAAATAAATATAGATTTGAATGACAGATAATATTTTACAATATATATATATATATATGCATTGATTGATAGGTGGGCCTCACCATCTCTGTGAAATGGGTCAGACTGTGAGCCCAAATAGAAAAGGCTCTTATAACCCGAAACTTGAACGTTATTTGGATCCAATTTGATGAAAGTTGGGGTTTGTTATGGGTTTATTTTTATTTTTTTGTTATGATTTGAAATGAGCCGTTAGATTTGATTTTTTTTTAAAAAAAAAATAGTATTTTTGATATAATATTTTGTAAAATAAAATAATACTTCTTCTGTCCACACATAAAATATACAATTACTTTTGGCACGGTGTTTAAGAAATAATAGTATTTTAATTATAGTTGATAGTTAAAACTAGTGTTATGACAATTTTGTTCTTACTTTTTGGTGTAAAAGCAACGATCTGATGTAAAGTAGAGGTATTTGTGAAAAAATTGAGATATTTAATTAAATGTTTACTTTGTAATTGGACGTCTCAAAATAGAAATATGTATATTTTCTAGCCGGACGAAGAGAATATATTTTTATTGAAAATTGTATTAAATGAATAATGTTGATTTTGATTTAAAATGTTAAAAGAATATACGTGAATTTAAATAAAGTATAATTTATAAATAATTAAAAAATATATTAATAAAAATAATTATTATATATATTATAAATAATTATATGTTAAGATTAAACTAATTAATTAATTTAATTGAAATATACAAAATATTGATTATGAAAATTAAAATATGATTAAAATATATAATTTTTTTTCTATAAAGTAAATAAAAAATAAGATGAGACGTACGGAAATAAAAAAAAAAAAAAATAGACAAATAAAGTAGAATCGAGAAAATATTATATATTTTTATAAAATATTTTTAAAGCATGTTGCAAAACTTCAATGTTATAGTAATATTTTATATATATTACTATTTTAATTGATTACTTGTATATAATTATTATTTTAACAAAGTGAACCATACACTTAATTATTTATAAATAATAAATTATGTACATTATTGAAAATTTATATATAAATTCCTACATAATATTAACATTTTATTATTATTATTATTATTATTATTATTTTTTAGATTACACCGTTCTTTGAATATGAGTTTAAACAAATATATTATTGTATTAGTTTATTGGGATATAAAATAAATATATTTTGAAATGAATATGTGTGAGTTAATAATATAACAAAAAAATTGATAATTGAATGGATAAATAATTGTTGTATTTTTTTTATAAATATATGTAATATTAAATGATATAAGTTTAAAAAAAATACATATAAATAAATTATTCGGTATAAATAATAAATTATGTATTTTCTGTCAATAAATAAAAATGAAACATAGGGTAAATAAATATTGCTTGGTTCCAATAATATAGGAAAATTAATGTTTTGTTTTTTTATAATTTTCTTCTCACGTTTTCTCAAAAAAATTAATAAATTAAATATATTTATTATTTTTATATTTTCTCCACAATTTATTATAACTCACATAAAAAAAAATTATTTTTCAACAATGCCACGAAACAAACAAAGTCTCATAGGTCAAGATTGAGTCGTCAAAGCATTCCCAGAAATGCGACACTTGGCTGTTTTGCTTTGACCCGTCAATATCCAAACACGGCTTCCTCTCTTCTATTGTACAGTTAAAAACGTGTAGCCATCCTGTAACGACTTTGTGTGATTCTGTCTGCTTCCAACCGCCAACACGCTTTTAGCAAATTATCATGAAATTTTAATATTTTATTTTATGATTTAAAAATTATATATTTTTTTAATTGAAATATGATATAATTCAATAGTAAATAGTTGAAAATAAACGCACCCTAAATAAAAAACATAAGGTTACATTTGGTTTTGGTGGTAAGTTATGAAGTACGGTAGGAAGTTCAGAATTTACATAGTAATGAGTTACTATTATTTCAAGGTTTTTATTATTTAATTTACATAATTTTTAATAAAAAATATATTACCTTTTACTACAAAATAATGTGTCAAATTAGCATTTAAATTAAAATTCAAATAGCCAAAAAAAAAAAAAAAAAAAAAACCCTTTTAGAGAAAACAAACCAAAACATTTTGAAATGAGCTTTATATTCCTTCTGTCTCATTGGAAGAGTAACGTTTACTTTTTTTATGTAAATTTTTTAATATTAATATTATATTAAATTATAATAAAAAGGACAAAAATATTTCTATTATTATTGTATAATATAAAAATAATGGCATTTGTATAATATATTGTATTAAGTAGATAGTACAATTATATAGCAAAATGCTATATTCAAAAGTCTCTCTCCCTATGTTTTACTTATTAATCATAATCAATCACCTAACAATTCCCATTAATATTTATGCTAATTCAATATAATTTTCCATTCCATCTTTAATTTAAGGTCTCCCCTCACTTCATTTATACAGATTGAGATTTCACATTATTGTAAAATCCCAATAACCAAAATGTAAATTCATTAATTAAATTATTATTGCACTTACCACTAATAAAATAACGCAGTATATTAATTACTATTTCCCAGTATTTCTGTAAAAAAGTAAACATAAATCTGTATTATATATATTTATTAAACAATTACACAAATTTTAATATTCTTGCTGCATGTGAACTGTCTAATTTTAATGCTGTTAAGAAAATATTTACTAAATTACAATGAATTTTGTAAGACACAATCAGAGCAAATTTTATTTTAATTAATCAATATATCGCTGGTAAATTTTCTTTACCTTCTACAGTTTTTGGACCAAAAATTAAATATATTTACCTTTTCCATCACTATAGTATAATTTTTTTTTATTATTTATTTATTATTATTTTTTTAAAGTTAAATTGCAACAAAATTTATAGTGGTTTTATGAAATTGCACCAAATTAATTCTATTTCTAAAACTGCATCAAATTCTTTAGTAGTTTTATAAACTTTGTGTCTAAAATCCTTCGCAGCACTTATTTAACGGTATTTGATCTAAATACGTTCAAACTGCGAATACATTTTAGAATCTTAATTTTTAAATCTCTAAAATTATAAATATATATTTATTTTTTTTATGTTTAGTCTCAAAATTAATTATTTTTATCAGGTTTTAATAGTTTATTTTTACTTTTTTGAGGCTAAATATAAGAAAAATAAATATATTTGTAATTTTAGAAGTTTAGAAATTGAAATTCTAAAATTTATTCCCAATTTGGATGCATTTAGGTCAAATACCGTTTAATAAGGACTGCCTAAAAAATTAAATGTAGAATTTATGAAACTATAAGAAAGTTTAAATTTTGTAAAACTGCATATAAATTTTGTGCAATTTTATCTATTTTTTTTAAAGCCCTATATATTTTGTCACACTTTTATACGCGTCTCAGATTCAGTTACCATATATGGAACTTTCAATTATTTATTTCTCACCAAAAAAAAAAAAGAAAAAATTATTTAGAAATTCAGAATTGCTCCGGTGAAGAGGCTCTAAGAATCGACCATTCGCCGGCGCCGGAGGCACCGATGAAATACGAGGGCCAAAGTCCTTTCTCAGGCGGCGGAAAGTCGCCGGCGACGACGATCACGACGTACTCGCTCGTCAATCTCTTCTCCTATCTCTTCCTAATCGTCACCGGATTCACATTAGGAGTCGTCTTCTCCTACTCAAAAACCTTTTCATTCAATCTGCAGCTCACAAACGGCGGTTTCTCCATCTTCACCTCACAATCGCCGCCTCCTCCGGCGAAAACCGCGGCGGCGCTCGATTCGAAATCGAATTCGAGCGGCGGCGGTGGTGCGGTTACCGATGATTCTCCTCCGAGCAGCCATGCGGTTGAGGAGTATTTTCTAAAATCACCGCCTGTGACTCACAGCATGGCGGACGAGGAGCTGATGTGGCGTGCATCGATGGTTCCTAAAATCCGCGGCTTCCCATCCAACGGTGTTCCGAAGGTGGCCTTCATGTTCCTGACGCGAGGGCCGGTGATATTAGCGCCGCTCTGGGAGGTGTTCTTCAAAGGCCACCAGGGGATGTACTCAATCTACGTACACTCCGACCCGTCTTATTCCGGGTCGGATCCGCCCGGATCCGTTTTCCATGGCAGGAGAATTCCAAGCAAGGTCAGTCTCTGTCATAATTTCATTTTTTTTTTTCGTAACTCTTCAATTTTCATTATTTTGTTCTAATTTAATGCCTGCATTCATACACGCCATTAATTAATTCTTGCATAGATCAACGTCGTATATATATGTTTATTTTCGTTTTTGCATTCTTGATAGATTGCAAATTATGTCTGATTTCTAACACATTGAAACATAATACCAAAATTTATTAGAATCATGATTAGAAAATATATTAGAATTGTGTTTAGATATGTTTTGGGATTGTGAGAGTTTTTGGAGAGTATGATAATAGTAAAAACGTAGAAAAAAAAAATCTGAATTTGATATCATATAAATAATCAATATTATTTAATTTTTTTTTTTAACGAAAATAGAATTTCGTTTGGTTGCAAGTTAGGAATTGTGATTGAAATTCTGATTATTAGATAATGATATTGTTTTCAATATATATATTTCAATAATATATTTAATATGAATGTCATTTTGCAAAGAATTAAATTTTACATATTCCTATATAATTAATATAAACTAATTCATAAAAGATAAAAAATTTAAAACCTACATAAATATATATATATTTGTTTATTCAATTAGTAGATAAATAGAAATAGAATATACAAGTGTGATTCAGCTTTAAAATATTGAAAAAATAAAAGAGATAAAGAAAAATTAAGAATATATATAGTATCAATTTATGCTTCAATTGTAACTATAGACCTATTTTTTTATTTAATATTTTAAATGGCAAATAGGGCTTTGTTTATGTAGAAATTGATTTTAATTTTTTTTTCTTTTTTTACTGTATAATCTTTATAATTTTTAATAAAAATATATTTTTGTATTCTGACTTACAAAATAATAGATGCAAACCAAACATTAAAAAAAAAAAAGTAAAGTTACAGATATAGTGTTTAATATAAATATATATATATATATATATATATTAAATTCTACTATTGATAAGGTGCTAAAAGTGATTTGAAAAAAATACTTTATAAATATATAATGAAAATTTTTAACTGATTGATTATATACCAAAATAGGAAATACACTCTTTGTGGCAAAAACAAAATACTAAAACTGCTAATTTGTGGAAATTTTAACTGATTGATTATATACCAAAATAGGAAATACACTCTATTTAGAATCATATAGATTAAATAGTAAAAAACTTATAATAAACAAAAACTAAAGAATTCTTTACTTTAAAGGCATATATTTGAATTTTATCAAATTCTACACTAATGATAATTTTAATTAAATTATAAAAAGACTTTTATTTATTTATTTATTTTTCTTTCAAGAAAGAGTTGATGTATAAGTTTGAACAAATTCGAGACCACTTAATTAGCCAATACAGCAATGAAATCCTCATGTCATCTGTTTGAATTGTCCCACCGTATGGCTCTTTTGTATGACTTATTTTTTAAGAAATTTAAAAATATATATATCAAAAAAAGGGACCATATGGTTCTTTTGAATTTTGATTAATTTGGTTACAATATTCTATTATGTGAAAGAAAATAATTTATTTTGTTAGAGACCATGCAAATATATATTGGATAGTAAAAAATAAAAAATTGAGTTTCAAAAGAATATATTCACCACCTCATAATTCATATTATTATCAAAATTATGCAACTATTAATTCATGCATGTTTGAGTTGAGTAAAAGGCTCATTGGGAGAACTTATTTATTTTTTTAATATTTTTATTTAAATAATATTTTATTAGAGAAAATAATTTATTTTTAAGTTTATGCAAATGCTCTTATCTTTTAATTATATATATATATATACTACTATTTTAGTTATAAAAAATTTCTATAAAAATATATATAAATTTCTTTATCAAAATACAAACTAAATATATAAATTTCATTATATAAAATATATTTTTTTAATAATTTTTGGTCCCATCCTTCCCCTAGTGAAAAGATGCCTTATTATGAACATTAATTAGTGGTGCATGCATATGATGAGACCGTTAAGGTTGAAGAAATTGTCCTAAGAAATTGAAGATTATTTATTTATTTATTAATTATTTTATGTGAGGCATTTTTAATATCAATTTTTGTGAAATAGGAAATATATATATATATATATTGAGAATTGTATAAATAAATATATATATATATATATATTATTGGGTAAACAAAAGCTTTGACTTCAGCGAAACATCTGTGTTTATTTTGTTTTCTGTAAAATAAGTGTGTATGTGACAAAGTTATTATTAAGTTTGTTTGGATTGTATTTTATTTTAATTTTGTAAAATGTTTAATTTAAACATTATTTTGATATAATATTATATAAAATATAATATTATATTCCCTCCGTTCCAAAAGATTTGTCTTGTTTGTCCATTTTCGTTCGTCACAAAACAATTGTCTTGTTTCCTTCCTTATTTAGTAGTCGTGGTCCCACTTTATAACAAAATTATTCATACTTTTCCATACTATCCATAATTATTACTCTAACATACTCTTTAAAATCCTTAAAAAAACAAAGACATTTTATTCTTAAATTCTCGTGCCAACTCTCAATAAAACACTTCTTTTGGAACGGATGAAGTATTTTATTAAAACAATATAAAGTACATAGCAAAAAAAAAATAAATTTGAATGAAGAATAGACTAATCATATTTTGACTTTGAACAAATAAATTTATTTTAAACTATTCTCTTCTTATGAACATAGTATAATTTTCACCCGATTAGCCATAAGTTTATTTTTTAAATTCCATTTTTATTTTGATATATAATCTCCATTCTTTAGTTTATTATTTTAAATAAAAAAATATATTAAATAGTAAATCATTAAAAAAATATTCTTTCATCAAAATAAATTCAATTTCTTTTTTAACCGATCCTAAAACTTGATCAATCTTTCATTTTTATATGTTCAGGAAGTCCGATGGGGCAACGTTAACATGGTCGAAGCCGAGCGGCGGCTCCTCGCCAACGCAATCCTCGACTTCTCAAACCAATACTTCGTCCTCTTGTCCGAATCCTGCATTCCCGTCTTCAATTTCTCAACTGTCTACTCCTACCTGCTCAACTCAACCCATTCTTACATCGAATCCTACGACCTCCCGGGCCCCGTTGGGCGCGGGCGGTACAACCGCCACATGGCCCCATTAATTACCGTCGACCAATGGCGTAAAGGCTCCCAATGGTTCGCATTGTCCCGAGACCTCGCCGTCGAGGTTGTCTCCGACACAACATATTTCCCGGCCTTCCAAAAACATTGCCACGGCTCATGCTACGCCGACGAGCATTACTTGGCGACGTTCGCAAGCATGAAATTCGGGTCGAGGAATTCGAACCGGACGTTGACTTGGGTCGATTGGTCAAAGGGCGGGCCCCACCCCGGAAGGTTCTATAGACAACATGTGACTCCTGAATTCTTGGAGTGGCTTAGGAGTGGAAGTGTTTGTGAGTATAATGGTAAGAAGACAAACATGTGTTATATGTTTGCAAGAAAATTTACACAACATGCCTTGGGGAGACTTTTGAGGTTTGCTCCTACAGTCTTGCACTTCTACTGATGATCATGGTATAGAATTATTTTTATTTTTTTTAATTTTTAATTTTTTTTTATAATTGGAATGTGGGAAGAAAGTAATTGATTGATTGATTGATTATTTTATTTTGCAAAATTTCAGACAGCTTACTACCCTGTATTAATTTGTACTACTACTGAAAATTGGATTCAATGACACATTATTTGTTATGTTTGACTGTATTTTTCTTGTTTTGTTTGGTTGTTTTTACAAAGGTATATTTTTATTATTTTTCTACAATCACATGTTATTATTCCAATTTTTTAAAATATTAATCAACATCCAAATGATCAATTTGAACCCGTAATCTGACAGTAGTTCATTCTTCACCGGGTCATCAGTTACGGTTTGTATCTCATGGTTGAATAGTTGTTTTAATAGATAATAGTGAATTCTTCTTGAGGACTACGAAGATTGCATAAGTATATACTATAAGAAAAAATCATTTTTGCAACAAAATTTTTTTCTCTAAATTTACTTTTTCCGTTACTAATGACATTAGAGACGGAATTAGAAATGGAATTACGTTAGCTATGTAAATTTTAGGGACATAATTCCGTTACAAATATATATATATATTTTTTTTATAGTGATAACAATGGAAAAATATTGTTAAAAGAGCATAGTTTATTTTTTTTTATATAAATACCAATATTATTATTATTTTATTTATTGTTCTTGAAAATAGAAATATAGTATAATGGTGAAACCCTCGACCCTTTAATATTATATTCCCATCTTGTCTATTCTTCCCTTCTATTTCTTCCTTTTGTATTCGAAGTGTAGGCACCCATAACCTCTCATTTAAACCAAAAATTTTGGCTAGACAAGCAAAATATATACATATATATATATATATTTTAAATATCATATCAACTATGAATGTTTTCGATTTTGTTTTTGAATGAATGTGCTTTTAATATTAAATATAAAAAATCGTATTGATAATATAAAAAAATAATAGTACTTTATATTGAATTATTATTTTTTTATAGATAAATAGAGTATATATTGTATTAATATATACTGTATTTTTTTAGTATTTATAGAAAATTGTGCTAACAAAAAATATATACGGTGAACACAGATCCTATTATTTTCATCTCATAAGATACTATTCAATACTCAAAATTTTTATTATTCTTATATGTGTAAATTGAAATCAGGCGGATCTTTACCCGGAGTAGAGCATAAACCTAAAAAGATGAAATCGGCCCATTCGGGGACAAAAAAACACCATCGTGATTTGGATTGAATCTCGATGAAATAATACATTAATGAGAAGTTTATTCAATAAGTTTATTAACTTTTTTGCTATTCTAAAAAAGAAACTAAGTCAAAACTCACTGGGTAAACTCCGACCGAATCTAATACCCTACAAACTAAATTTTACAATGAAAATCATATTAGACAAACTATGTGTGACAAATGGACTGAAAGCGTCGAGTTTGAACGCATCACCGCTATTATTGGAATGATTTTTTGCCGTTCCAATTTAAATTAATTTATGCTCTACGGCTTAAAATTATCTTCAATATTAATATTTGTAAAAATTAGGGCTGGCATTTAAATATTAGCTGGACTAGAGCCCATTATTGGAATGGGCTAAATTACTTCGTATCTATCTATGGCGTTTGGCTGATATTCAAGTCTGAATTGGCACAGGAATTAGGGTTTGTACTGGGAATTAGCTTTCACCGTCGTCGTCGCCGTTGTCGTTGTCGTCGGCAGCCCCTCATCTCCAGCTTAAAAAAATGGTACTCAAAAAGTGATATTTGTAATATGTAGAACACAAAAGTTCTGTTTTGTTTTTTCGTTTCGTTTTTTGCTCTTGTCCCCTTGAAGAAAACAATTTGAGATGGAAATGATGAACTTTTGTTGTTGTGAGGGTGATTTGGAATGCATTACGTTGAATTTCGGTCAATTCCATCTTCTCTGGCTAAATTGCCCTTTATTTATTGTCAAATGAGTTTGCATGGGTCGAACTTCAAACTGGTGGCTGTTCAGGGTTTCACTTGTTTTCATGATCTTGTAATGTGTTTGTAGGTTGAATTTACTTGAAGTTTTACCCTTTTATAATTTAGCAGCCATTTCTTTGAAAGTTCTGTGATAATAGTGTATTTTATCCAAGGAATAGTTTTTGGTTAAGCAGGGCTAGAATTGGATAGAAGGTTTTTGGGCTTTAGGCCTTGATCAGGATGTTGGATATCTTGAATTTCCAACAAGTGAACATTTCTCTCTATAGCATATCATTTCTTCAACTTCTCAAGATAAATAAGTTGAAATTTGATGTTATCCTGCCTTGATTTTGTATAGAGTAGTATTAAATTTGGTATTTTCATTATTTGTAGCTCACAACTTCATGTTGTTCTAATTACATATGATCCGATATATTATGGCATTATAATATATATATATATATATAAATCTATGTGTTGACTCAACTCAAATTCTTGAGTTTTAGCTTTCGGCTTTCAATGAGGTGTATAATATTTATCCTGGTATTGCATTAAATGGTGGTGTATTCATTTCAGGCCTCTGCCAAGACGAAAGCACAAGCGAAGAAATCTGCAGCAGCAGAAGATGAAGGCATGGATCCCACGGTATGCCTGGCTTATGTATATTATGCTATAGTGATTTTTGATAAAGTTTCTTACTGATATCAGTGTGTTTGGATGGGTATTTATTTATTAATGGTATACTTACATTTTTCGCTTGCAGCAATATTACGAGAATAGACTGAGGAGCCTTGCAACTCAGAAAGAAGTTGGGATTAATCCATATCCTCACAAGTTTGAAGCGAAATCAACGATCCCTGAATATGTAAAGAGATATGAAAGTTTAAATAGTGGCGATCATCTTGAGGATGTTGAAGAATGGATAGCTGGTATGTCGAATATGATATATTCAATTTTACTATAACCTAAGTGTTGCTCCAGATTAATAATGGGGTGTGCCTTTTGGTAGGACGGCTTATGAACAAGAGATCGTCATCGTCGAAGCTGTTTTTTTATGATCTGCACAGTGGTGGTGCAAAAGTGCAGGTTATGGCTGACGCAAGGTGATTTCTATATCTCAACATCAACTGCTCCAACCACCACGAAGCTAGAAATAATACTCTGTCGCAACCGTCCCTTTTTAAAGATGTTGCAAGGAACTAATCTTATGTCAAGAGTCGTTAGTATTTATATAATTGGTTGTGAAGCTGAAACCACATTCTTAACTCAGATTCCCTCGCACAATTCCATTCTGGTTTCTTTGCTTTGGTATTCTGTCTTTCAACAACCGAAATTTGGTCTTGAATGGTTTCAGATGCATGAAAATTAATTGTTTTGTGTACATGTGACATGATTGCCCTCTTCAACCACTGAACTTGGCTGTTTGTCTAGGAAATCGGATCTGACCGAAGAAGAATTTACTAAATTTCATTCTTCTGTGAAGCGAGGAGATATTGTTGGGATCATCGGGTTCCCAGGTTTGTAGCTCTTAAATTTTGTCAAGCTATGATTCATGGTGTCTCTCAATGAACAGGTTGTTATGTTTATTTTCTACCATGTACCAAGTGTTTAGGTCTTTGTGCCTATGTCGTCTAGTTGATTACCTTTCTTTGGGGTTGTGATTAAACAATACTTTGTAGTTAGTCTTACAGTGTTATAGAGTCAAGTGAATTGGTTTCGTTTGTATTCTAAACCTCATGCTTACATTATTTATAGGAAAAAGTAAAAGGGGAGAGCTTAGTATTTTTCCAAAGACCTTTATAGTGCTTTCCCACTGCCTTCACATGATGCCACGTCAAAAAATTGCTCCCGGAGCAGACAATGCTAAAGTGAGTATAATTCTTATTCTTGGTTTACTGTTTCGGTTTGGTTTCTTTACCGATCTTGTTACTTTGAGTTTGGACAGATAACTGATGTTTGGGCTCCAGGAAGTGGGAGGAATTTGGATTCTTATATATTGAAGGATCAGGTACCATGCCGAACTACAATTAATGACCTTGAATTTTGTTGATATTAGGAAGTGGGAAGTTTCGTATTTATGCTTTTAGGTGTGGTATTTTAAAACAGCATATTATCCGTTCTGCCTATCTTATGAGTTCATCCTTTTGAAATGCTTCTGTTGGTGAAAATAGTTCTAATTCGTTCTAGGAAACACGCTATAGACAACGATATTTGGATTTAATGCTGAACTCAGAGGTTCGAGAGATATTCAAGACGAGGTCAAAGATTATTTCTTACGTAAGACAATTTCTCGATAGGCGAGACTTTCTGGAGGTATGGCTTGGATATTAAGCAAGATCTTATTGGTTGTTCTTTACTAGCTTCATTATTATCTAGATCATAATTAGTTGTTCAAATTTCCTCTTTTTAAAAAGGTTGAAACACCCATGATGAACATGATTGCGGGGGGAGCTGCTGCTCGGCCTTTTGTGACTCATCACAATGAATTGAATATGAGACTATACATGCGCATTGCTCCGGAACTATATCTCAAGGAATTGGTTGTTGGCGGCTTAGACCGTGTTTATGAAATTGGGAAACAGTTTAGGAATGAGGGAATTGACCTGACTCACAATCCTGAGTTTACGACTTGTGAATTCTATATGGCCTTTGCAGATTACAACGACCTGATGAAACTGACTGAAGACATGCTTAGTGGTAGATAGGAAATTCTTGATCATAATATTTTTGTTCAAATTTTTTGTTTATTCTTCCCTTGGTTTTCTTATAGCAATTCATGTTGTTGACAGGAATGGTGAAAGAACTCACAGGTGGCTATAAAATTAAATACCATGCCAATGGGGCCGACCACGATCCAATTGAGATCGACTTCACTCCTCCATTCAGGTTTCTCACTCGTGCTTATAACCACTCTTCTTGATTACTCATGGCATTTAATAGGTCTGCGTCTAATTTACTTGTACAGACGGATTGATATGATTGACGAATTGGAGAAGATTGCAAATCTTAGTATACCTAAGGATCTATCGAGTCAGGAAACCAATAAATATCTGGTGGATGCATGTTCGAAATTCGATATCAAATGCCCACCTCCTCAAACAACTGCTAGATTGTTAGATAAAGTAAGATGCCTGATCATTCTTGAATAATATTTGATAGATAATAGGTTGCCGATTTTATTCTGCTGTCTATCTTGTGTGCAGCTCGTTGGACACTTTCTCGAGGATACGTGTACGAATCCTGCCTTTATCATCAATCATCCGGAGATAATGAGTCCGCTGGCCAAGTGGCATAGATCGAAACCGGGCTTGACTGAACGATTCGAGTTGTTCATCAACAAGCACGAAGTATATAATTCCACAACCATTTTATTTTGACCTTCCTTTTCTTTGTCTCTCAATCTGACACCATCCATTTTCTGTACACTGACTTTGCAGCTTTGCAATGCCTACACAGAGTTAAATGATCCTGTCGTGCAACGACAACGGTTTGCTGACCAACTCAAGGTAATTAAGTGACGTGTAACTCGTATTTACATACACACGCATATATATATATACATGTTTTGTGTGTCGTAGAAGTGAATCATATCGGTGTCATGTTAAAGCTTTTAAATAACTGCTAAAAGGGGCATCTATCGAAGAAAATGTTTATAGGAGTTGAAAATATATATACATGTTTTAATTAGGATCGGCAATCTGGCGATGACGAAGCAATGGCCTTAGATGAAACATTCTGCACAGCGCTGGAGTATGGATTGCCTCCAACGGGAGGTTGGGGACTGGGCATTGATCGGCTCGCAATGTTGCTGACCGATTCACAGAACATAAAGGTTACTTTTATCCTCCCCTTCTTCATGCTCTTCTGTTATATGCATCAGCATATGCTTCTTACCAAAATTATCGAATGTGCGCAGGAAGTTCTTCTCTTCCCTGCAATGAAACCTCAAGAAGAACCCTCGAACAAAGAAAGGTAAATAAAGTTTCTTTCAAGAATCACTTTTGTATAAAAACAGATCGAAATCTAATACCAGCTACTAACCACCATTGAAGGCTGTAATTATCTTTCTTTAATCTTCAATCTTTCTTACTTGCTACGATTTCTGCAGCAACAAAAAGGGTCACGACGAACCTCCCTCCAAAGGTATATAATCTAACTTATATCAAAGATCGATCATTTTTAGCCTGCGATGCTTTCTGCTTCTACCCATTGCGCGTTAATCCCACTAATTTCACAATAAAAATTTGTTTTCTTGTTAAATGCAGCTGCAGCTTGAAAAAAGACCCGCCAATCGAGGCCGGGCGATAAATTGTGTGTCACTTTACCTCTTCCCAGTTCCCTACATTTGCTTACAATTTTTTTGCCAGTGTTCATTCATCCATACACGAGTAGCAATTTTTGGATTCCTAAAGTCATATAAGAATAGTTTGTGTTTCAATATAAAATATCATCTCCTGTCAATATATATACATACATCAAGGAGATGACAAAAGACAGACTGTATGGCTGTATATGGGCATGCATTAGTTATTGATCCGGTCAAATCAGTACTATATATTTATACATATTTTAGCATACATATAATATAAAATATATTATATTATATTTCAACATATGCTATCTTATTATAATACAACATATGCATAAATATATATTGATCTCCTTTATATCAGATGTTGATCGAATCAAATCAGCACTATGCTGATTTGATCGGATCAGCACAAAATTTGCAGCCAGGTGTATAGATACATAACATATATATACATATATATATATATACGTATATCTATTTGTCAGGAAGCAAAATAGGAAGATCTCTTCAGCAAACTGAACTAGATGCAGTGGAGCTGCTTAACCACACATCAGTTACAGCATTAGGTGATGACTGAAACTTCTTATTCTTCAGCAATACACAGTCATCTGTTTCAGGTGAAGCACTGTTCATCCTGCCGACATCCGAAGAACCGTCGTCTCGGCGGTGTTGTTCCTTCTGGAAGCCGCAGGACAGGTCCTCGCCCCGAATCTCCTTTAGAGTGTTCGAAACCTCATCCATCGACGGCCGAAGATCCTTTTCCTGCTGCAGACACTGAAAAGCCAACTCGGCTACCGAAACAGCCATTCTCGTAATCTCAGCATCCGAGTTGTACCCGAGGGAAGCGTCGATGATGGCGTCGAACGCGCGCATTTGAATCTTGTTCACAGCCAGGTTCGCCAGGTTGATCTCGTGCCGATCTCTGCTAATATCGACGGCCGGCATCGACGACAGGAGCTCCATCAGGACGACACCAAAGCTGTAAACGTCGCTCTTGTCGGTCAGCTGGTAGCACTGGTAATACTCGGGGTCGACGTAACCGGGAGTACCCTGCGGAGCCGTCGATATGTGGGTCACATCAGTCGGGAACAGCCTCGACAACCCGAAATCGGCGACCTTTACACAGTAGTTGCTGTCGAGTAATATGTTGTCCGTTTTTACGTCGCGGTGGACAATGTCTGATTTGTGTAGGTACGCCAACGCATCGGCAGTTTCGATCGCGACCTTCATCCGAACGGCCCATGTCAAGGATGTCTTCGTCTTGGTCCCGTCGCCGTGGAGATGATCTGCGACCGTTCCGTTGGGGATGTACTCGTAGACAAGGAGGAGTTCTTTGCTTCTCGTCGAAGTGCAGCCGTATAACGACACCAGATTCCGGTGCCTCAAGGAGGTAAGGATCTTGATTTCGTTCATGTACTGCTCCATCCTTCGGTAGTTGTGGTCGTACATTCGTTTTACGGCTACTTCTCGACCGTCTTCGAGTTTTCCTGTAAAAACATACTCATTGTGAAAATTGTGTTTGTGTTATCGATAGATGCATGCCGGTGAAGGGTGGGTTCTTACCGTAATACACGGTTCCGAAGCCTCCGTCGCCGAGCTCGTTGGACGGGTTGAAGTTATCGGTGGCGATTTTGAGGTCGGCGTAGGAGAAAACCGGGATACCGAAGTAGGTGCCCCCTCCTTCGAGGTCGGGTTTCGATATGTTTCTTGAGAGAAGATATGATCTCTTGATCCTATCCTTGTGTTGCCAGATTATCACGGAGATCAGCAGGAATACGAGGAGGAGGACGACGCATCCCACGCTAGCTGCCAACCGACGAATTAAATCGAGTGAGAAACTTTTGGAAATTAAACTTCATTTAAATCGAATTACTATCGATAAATAGTGTCAAAAGTTTTAAAAATATCGTTTGTTTTAGATGTTTACCTGTGGTTACTATCAGCGTAAACTGGGTTTCTCCTGCAAACATCAAAGCATACATTAGTCGCCTAAACCGAAAGGAAGACAAAGGATAAATGATACTATTTTCGTCCGTCAAATTTACTCTGACTTTTTTTGTAGCCTGACCGCCAAATTTATCTTACTACTAATTTCGGTAAAGTCAACATATCAGCATTTAACTATTATTTTTATCCAACTCTCTCCAACTTTTTATTTTTATCAATTTTTCAATTAAAAAATTCAACCAAAATGTTCTAATTTTTGCGAACAGAAAAGTATAACACAGCCCATGTTAGAACAAGAAAGGATTCTAACATTGTTTAGTACCCACTCGCTTATTCAGTCAAAACTCTTTAAACACAGCAGCAAATCTAAGCAAGTTTTCATTGAAGAATTTTCCAACCAATGTTTTCGGACAACTATTCTTTGCAGTTCTTTGGTCAGCACAAATTTAGAAAGTAAGAAGTTTACATCTACTGGTTTTCACTTTCAATCTTAATCTAATCCTTCAAATTACAATGAACATGAGGGAATATTTAAATCAATAGTAACTTCAATAAAAATGGCTTATTTAGATCTCAACGTCAACAACATTAAAGTCATAAAGAAACATTGCCGACATCCGATCCTCATTGAATATAACAGAAAAAGAAAAAACAACTCTGAGCTTACGATGTCATTTTCTTGGAAATTTTTATGCAATAATTAATAAGTTGGCCTAATAAATTTTCTGTTTTTCCATAAACCTATAGTAAAGTTAGTTGACAATTGAATTTAGCACGCCTAAGGTTTCTAGACAAAGAGATTAGAAGATCTAAAGAAGCAAGAAAACATAAACCACCTATACATACATATATAAAAGAATTATGATTCAAGAATTGCAACTCGAATGAGAAAAGTCACTTCAGTTGTATTCACATATAAAGAGTTAGAATTCCATCTTGATTTTGAACACAAAAACGAAACGATTACATCGAAAAATCATCGAACAGCTGTTTCGATCTAAAATAACTAAATGGCATTCCCAGAATAGTTATAGTAAATGAGGTAAGCCCCATATAATATCATCACTATAACAAGTAGTTGATTCAATCGATAATGGCAGTTTAACAGTCCCTTTCCGATGTTAAGGAGAATAGTTTAGATTATTGGCTACTTGTTGTTCGTTTACCTTAAAAAAAGTATCAAGTTGTCTACTATAGTCAGCTCAGTTCAATCACTAATAATTGCGGCACAATATGCACAGATCAAAATCACAACAAATTGTTAAACAGAGGCCTAACACAATATCATCAAGAGCAATCACAATCAATCTAAACACAGGTAAGCCAAGTAAGATAAAATTCATTGAAGATTTTAAGAACAAGATATTACTTCGTTTGCAGCTCCTAGAATGCGGCCTGTCGGGACAGAAGCACTTGAAGAGGAAAGTAGTCTCGTTGAATCCACAACGGCCACCGCTGCTTTCGCAATCGCTGCAATCACTAGCCATCCAGTTCATCACAAAACCCCCGCCCAAAACACTTTGAAGATCTCGAAGATTGGCTATGGCACCTGAGACATTCACTGGTCTCTCCACCTTAACCGTTACCGTCTTGTTGCAACTTCTACTTGCAATTGAAGAATCTCCATTCTCTTCAAACAATGGCAGAACAGTACTATTCTCTGTATCATTTGATCCACAAAAAAGCCTGCGGTTCGAAAGATTTTCAGGCAATGAATCACTGCAATTGTAGAATAAATGGAGCTTCGTCACATTTGGTGCATAATCAAACCCCTTGGGGAGACTCGTGTTCTTCAATCCTGAATAACATCCATTTGCTTCGTAATTCGGCAGAGATAAAGGATAAACTCGAAGAGATCGAGTGTGATAAGAAATGTTCACAATCATATAATCACTTCCCGACAAATTCAGCGTTGTACCACTCGATTCCCAGCAACTTACGAGTCCAAATCCAGGGTAGCCACAATAGCTTTCTTGCTCTCGGGGAAAGTAGAAAGGAAAGCTTACATTGACGGCGCCGCCGCAAGTTACCGGCGGACATCTCTCGTACCGATAATCAGCGCCGTGAGATTCATCCAGAAGAACGACGAAACACAGCACACATAGATGTATACACACGAAGATGCGAAGCATATTATTATCCCCAAATTCGAAGAACTCGAGCAACTGCAGCTACACAAAAGGAGGTTTTAACATTTAAGCATTACCAGACGGCCGCCATTAAAAATTTCCATCCCCTAAGTGCGCCTCAGGCGACTACCTTCAACCAATTCAGAGCTTCCAACGCGAAAGGCGTCTCTTCGTTCGTTCGTCGCCCTTCCAGAAAACGATGATTAGATTTTGACACGGTGAGGTTCGAATCAATTGGATTGCGCAGCTGGTAAATGCCTAATTAATCGAAGATTTGAATAAGCAATTGCAGCGAAGCGAGTGCAAACAAGAGGTCATTATAAGATACAGCAGAATTAGTTGACCAGATGCATCTCTGACCTTTGAATTTGAATAATGGTAGAGTTGAAAAAAAAAACAAAATTGCAGGATGAGGCAGGCATAGCCGTGTGATTAGGGTTAGTAATTTCACTTACCTTATCAAATTGGGACTCGATTGGCATTGGTGGAGGACGATAGCGACGAGTGTGGGCAGCGACTGGAAGCTCAGCTGGTCTGGTCCGTCATCGTCCACAAATTTACAGAATGAAAGCAACTTGGATTCTTCCATGGTAATTGGTTGGTGGGGAGGATCGTTGATGCTGCAGATTGCTATGCTAATGGGAAGTCAATTCATCGAACACTTCGTCTGCATGCGCATATTCATATCTAGCAAATGGACCACGTGGAAATATTTATTTTAATAATAAATTTAGAAAAAAAAAACATTTGTAAACGCGCTTTTATCATTGCATGACGACTTATTGAAGAAATTCTTTGGATTCGTGCTAAATTCATCTTCTACCATTCCTAATGTTTCGTTCGTCTAATTGAAAATATATTTTTATTATTTGTATTCATATAATTAAATAAGTATCTATTTTGTCCCGTAAAATATTGTCTAATAGGATCATAGGTTTAAACCTCAACACACAATTCGCATTCATCCGGTCAAATTAATATGATTACGTAAAATTTAAATATTTTAGTGTTATAATAAAATATGAATAAAATTAATTATATTTAATTTATATATTAAAAAATATATAATATGTATAAAACTCGAGTCGAAATCAAATTTGAATTTGAGTCTAAGGAGTCAAACTCAAACCAATATTTTAACTCGAATTCTTAATAAATAAAATCTAGTTTGTACCATTAACAAAATCGAGCCGTGTTTAAACATCATATACTTGAGCTCGCTCACATCGTTTAATAGTTCTACATTGCACTAGATATACTGATTAATTTATTCCAATCAATAATATTATATTTATACGATGAATTTACAATAAGTTATAAAACGATTCTGTAAAGACAAAATATTAGAATACATGTATATTATACTAGAAGACCACTTTTTTTTTAATATTTTGTTAAAAAAATAATTATTTTTATCAAAGGCTTCGACTAGTATTATTTAAAATTTTAAATACAAAATAAGCATATAAAATTATTTTACTACAAAATAATCGAAAAGAATCTCAATATAAATCATTATAATTAATGAAGTCTTCACTATGTCGACTAAATAATTTGTGCTTGAGTTACTGTGTTGATTGAATTAAATTAATATGATATTAATTTGATCTAATTAATATATATTTATATAAAAAAAGTACTAAATAAGCTACAACATATTTTAATACAATTTATGAAATATATTTTGATACCACATAATATAAATTCATGTAACAATATATTGTGACAGGTGACCTGAGGCGTCGGAAGTTTGAACCTATGACATCACGGATTTGCTCTTGAATTAATATATATTAATTTTTTTTCTAAATTCATCGTATAATATCGTAAGTACGCATCAAATCGTCCGAAAATTCATTAATCTTTCACATGAGAACCGAAAAGTTTTAGGCCAAAAATCGATTTCTCAGACCAACAAAAATATATCAATTAAAAGGATCTAAAATACATTTTACCTAAATATCTTCCACTCTATACACCTCAACACCAATAATGTAAGAATTCTTATAATTTGAGTGTATTCTATTTTTAAATAATAGTTGTATGTAATGTCTTATAAAGAAATAATATATACCCCCATGACTCAGATCAATCTGCCACACATGGTTCGCCTAGTGTGACTTGTTTGTCGGGCTTAGTTTGCATAGTATTAGGTTCAGTCGGGGATTTATCCAGTGCGTACTTTCGGGTAACGGTTGTGGGTTCTTACGTCATAAAAAAAATATATAAATATATATTTTTTATTAAAAAAATCATAGATGTTGTATAATAAAAGGACTAGAAAAATAAAAATTAAAAAGAAGACAATTCAAATGTACGAATACGAAATTATATATTGTGAAGAATAGCACCAATTAAGTTGACATCTAAATATAAACATGAATAAGATTCTTAGTGTAAATTTTACTAAATGCGTTCATGCAGCTTTGACTAGTTTTAAAAATAACACTTCAATCTCCATTTGAAATGAAAGTATTTATTTTATTATTTTTATTCTTTATAATTTTTATAAACATAATTTCACTGTATATATAAATATTTTTAAATTTATATTTATTTATGTCCATCAAATTAAAATATAGAACAAATATATATACTTACAGACGAACTATATTTAAATATAATTTCGCCTTCTATAACAATTTTAAATTATACTCCCTCCGTCCCATATAACAGGTCCACGTTGCCGTTTCTGTCCGTCCCACATACCACCATGTCACTTTCCTTTTTTGAAAAATAATTACACACTTTAATCTCATTTTAAATTTTTTATTTTTTATTTTTTTAAAATTTTAATTAAACTAATCAGTTATCTTAATCTTAATTTATAATTATTTATATTATAAGATAATTATTTTTACTAATATATTCTTAATTATCTACTAATTACACCCCTCCTAAAATACCGTGTCTACAGTGTAGCAGATACGGTATTTGGGACGAAGGGAGTATTAAAAAATCTTTTAATATATATATATATATAATATATATGCATATGATTTTTATTTCACCATCACTGTCATAAACCATTTCAAAGTTAAGTCAACCTTCAAAATTTATCAACATTAGTTCAAAGAAGGGTTAAATTTAAATAATAATAATAATAGGATGAATGTGACTAGTGCTGTTTAGAGTAAATATTTTGAAACACTAGCCTTTGTTTGCACTATATTTTGAAATTTCGTGACAATTCATTTTTTAAAAACATCAAATTAAAATGTATTTATATATATATATATATATATAATATCATACTTGCTCCGTCCCACGTACTATATACACGTTGCCGTTTCTGTCCGTCCCACATTCTGTGTCACTTTCATTTTTTGGAAAATGATTATACACTTTAATCTCATTTTAAACTTTTTAATTTATTTTTTTTATTTTTAATTAAATTAATTAGTTATGTTAATCCTAATTTATAATTATTTATATTATAGGATAATTATTTTTATTAATACATTCTTAATTATCTACTAATTACACCTCTTCTAAAATACCGTGTCTACAGTGTCTGCTACACTGTATGTGGGACGGAGAGAGTATCAAATACTGTTTTTTATTATTCTCAAATTTCAAAACTTCCAAAATTCTCTTATCTAACAGAATTGTTTCTCTTAAAATCTATGACACTAATATACAAATAATTATTCATTATAATTATTTAGTTTATTAATAAAAATATTTATATATATTAACTATACACTATTTGATAGCAAAATTCTCAATAAATATATAGATTATTTATTGTTATAAAATATAAAATCAAAATACTATTTAAATTAATACTCAAATAAAAAATAAAATAAAATCGAATCAAATTAAACAATCCTATTTGTTTTATAAAATAGTAAAACCATATATTGTATAATTAATTAAATAAAAAATAATTACTAATATAATATTTTTTAGAAAAAAAAAAATGTTGTTAATGGTACAGTACAAAATTTAGAGTAAAAATAAAAGTTTCTATTTGGATGTTGTGAGATGGCTTATAATGAATAAAAATTTAAACTATGGAGTAATATATAAGGATGTTAATTTTTTTTTTTAGATATTTTGTAATAGAAAAATGTATCTTTGTTAAAAAATATATATAGGTAATTTTTTTTTATTAGAAATAATATAATTTTTTTTTAAAAAAAAAGTTTGTTTGGTTTTGAGTTCGAGATTTGATTGAAATAATATTTTTTTATTTACCCAATTTATGTAAAAACAAGATATGATAGACTTGTGACCGTGATATTATAGATTTAAACCCCCGACGCCTCGGGTCATCTGCCACACATGGTTCGCTTAGTTTGACTTTTTCACCGGGCCTAGTTGGCAGGGTATTAGGTCGGCCGAAGATTTACCCAGTGTGCACTTTCGGGTAGCGATTGCAGGTTCCTACGTCATAAGATAAATAAATAAATAAATAAAATATGATGACTCACTGTTAGTACTTACACAATCTATTAAAAGGTTTCTCCCACTTCTCTAATTTATTCATATTTTTTTTTACAAAATATTCATACCTTATATGAATTAACCAATTTAATAATAATATTTATTAAAATTTGTGAGAATAGATATTTGTATTATCTAAACATTAGATCTGTTTATTCAGTAAAAAATGTATATTAAAAAGTAAGTGTTTTAAGGGACTACTATTTAGCAGGATCGATTATGATCGAGGCCGAAACAAAAATAAGAGACTCATAAATATATATATATATATATATATGAACGATATTTGTTATATATAAATAATTAAATGAAAATAAATTTTCTTAGAAATTTGGAAGCACAAATTATTTGAACCATGATCTCACAAATATTGTACAAATATCAAATATGTTCTATATATAACAAATACTTCCTTCTTCTCATATCTATATATCTATTTGTTTTTTCACAGAGTTTTAGAAATATTAATATTATATTGGGATAAAATAGAAATAAAAATAAAAAGACTAAATTAGCATATTATATGATATAAATGTAATAACATTTTTGTAATATATTGTAAATTAGAAAGATATTTGTAATGTTAGGTAGATAGTACAATTACTTTTAGAAAAAATAAATATTTTGTTATGTGACAGACCAAAATAAAAAAAATAGATAAATTATTAAGGATGAAGGAAATATATAATAAACTCCTGATTTACAATAAAAATATATAAAATTAAAATTATCACGTTACTAAACACGCGAGTCAATATTACTTATTTGTCCCATCAATGCATATAGAGTGTGTTTATGTTGTTGGATAATATTGTAATTTATTATATTATTTTAATAAATTATATAATTATGACATTAATAAATATCATATTTATTTTATTTGATTAAATATAATATAATATCAAGTTTAGTACAAATGTTACTTGAAATAAATTTATTTCATAAATTTAAATAGAACTAATTATTTCTAATTATTACATTATTATACTCCATCCGTTTAAACTCAAAATATATTTTTTTACCATTTTCGTTCGTTCCACTCCAAAGTATCATTTTTACTATTTTAATTAAAGTAATCGGAAGGACAAAAATGTCAAAATATCTTATACATTTCCACTAACTAATAAATACTATTATTTTTTAATTTACTATAAAACCGGGAGTTTTGGAGTTTAAACTCATGACATCTCTCCACACCACCAGACCATCCTTAGGGGATTTTTTTTTTTTTTTTTTTAATGTATACTTTTGGGGTCATGTAACAGATTAAGAAGAAATAATGATATTGTATTGGTTAATGAAAATATTTTAAAAAATTTAATATTTTTGCCTTTGACTTATACCGTAATTGTATATTAATGACATATTTGCAATTTAAGTAAAAATAAAACGTATATTTTTATATTAGAAAATAATAAAAAAATAAATATTTTTTATTATGACATATTAAAATAGTAAAAAATACTACTTTAAATTAGGATGAGAGAATATGTATTTATATTGTAGGGTAACTCTCATTAAACTTCTTAATTTTAAATTTAATTTTCTATTTACTCTCTATACACTAAATTTTTCCTATTTACTCCATATTCTTATTAATTTATTTTTCTTTATTCCCTATTCACTTAAAATTCCTACAATATCCTTATCTTATTTTGTATTAACTGCTATTTTTTGTTATCTTCACGTATAAACCTTAATTTCTACCATATAAATTCATTTTTTACTATTAAAAAATAAACAAATAAGTAGATAAACAAAAATATGAAAAAAAAATAATTATAAAAATATATATATTTGCAACCTTTAAACAATAATACAAAATATTTATTAAAATATCAATATATATGATACTAAATTTTGCAAATACTGTTAAACAATAAGTAAATTAATTTCATATATATATACTTACAAATAAATTATATATATATATTTAAATGTTCACAAATATTCAATTTTAATACAAAATATTTATAAAGAATATTAATCTTGATTGAATAAAGTATAAATAAGTTAATGAACATGTACTCGAACATTCTGTATTGTTTGTCGTCATTTTGCAAAAAAAAATAAAAAAAATTGATAATTGTTTACATAAATTAAGGGTTCTGAGTTACATTAGGTATATAGAATTATAAATAAAATATTATTTTGATGACAAAATTGAAAGTTTATAGGTGAAAATATGTAAAATTATAAATGGGGAGTTGTAAAGAATATTGAAGGAATTACAATGAACAAATATATGAATAGAGACGAGTTTGAATTTTAGCATAACAACAGTCCAATCAAAATCGCAGTATTTCTTTCATCTCCTAAAATTACACTTTTTTTAAGTAGAAAAATAGTAGTATATTTTTTCCTATAAAAAAATTTAAAAATATTTCAATAAAAATCTCACACATTAAAACTTGTGAAAAAATATTTTGAGAGTACCAAATTAAAAAATAAAAGAAAATATATAATATTTATTTTTACGAAATATTATATTAAAATATTATTTAAATTTAAAAAAAAAAAAAAAAAAAAAAAACTAAGAAAAAACAATCAAACAAATAAAAAAATAGAACAGTTTTAATGACAGCGTACTTAAGCGCAGAGGTGACGATTACGATCCGCCGCGGTCCCAACGCATTGGCCGTCCAATAGGATAAGAAAGGTGCCGCTTCATTGAAATCCATCCATACACGTGTCAATCGTCGGAGTGATGTTTATTGGGTTTGACTAATCCCTCCGGCAAGCAATCACGTTGAGAACTCAATGCCACCTAAACCTAATCCGATAATGTTATCGCTAATAAATCCAGCTGGTCGGCTGCTCTCCCGCCATTATTGGCCTCTTGTCTGATTTTATAAATGTTATGTTCTTTAGACCGAATTTCTCAAAATTTTACTATTTGAATTTTGCATTTTTTTTAAAATTATAAAATATTTCATTAAACAATATTTTAGTACCAAATTCAAACTAATATATTTTCAAATTCATCCAAAGAACCACACCCTTTATTTTTATTATTTTTTTTTATTGTAGCTACAAAATCATTCAAGTATACACATACTTTTAAAATCATTTAACTGACTGACAAGTTGTAAATATGGGTTTATGTGTGTTTGTTTGGAGGATATTCTTTCAAATTCATTATTCATTCAAATCAGATTAAATTTTTATTTTTTATTTTATATATTATATTAAAAATTATTTTTATATTCAAAATTTACATCAATATTTATTTATATCTCATTATATAACTATTTCAATTCAAAATCATAATTCAAAATCCAAACTCCCAAATAAATACACCCAATGTATGGTAGGACTGTATTTTTTTGTTGCTCTGTATGATTAATTCCAATATTATTTATATATTAATTTATTAAACTCCAAAAAAAAAATAAAAATGTATAACCAATAATTCATGAAGTATGTATAGGGGTAAAGCTGTCTTTTCCAGCTGCCATTTTCGCTTCTCATAATTTCCTCCGTTTTCGTGTAAAGAATATTTAACAATGAATAAAAACAAATTATTAGCTTTATTAACTATAAGTACTGATACCCTGCTCGTCTTCTTCCGTCGTTCTTCGAGCATCCTCTCGACAGATTTTGATCCTTACTGAGCAGTAATGTTCTCAATTCGTTGACTGTGTTAGGAGAATCAATTGCATCATCTAAGCAGGAATTAAGATAAGTGTCTATACATACATTGGGGAATAGTTTTTGCATCGGTGAATTAGGGCTGTTTGGCCGTCACAATATGTTGGGGACGGAATTGCAGTTGAAAAACACAAGTGGACAAGGCGATGATCGGTTTTACAGCTCGGCAAGGATACGTTTGATTCAAGAGTATTTACGTGGAGTTCAGAGTGACGTCACCTTGAACCATTCACAGAGCTGCTCTGATGAGTCTACGCTGAAGAAGTCGAAGCTGGAAGTTTTATCTTTTTCACCAGTTTCGAAACCCTCGCCTTCGTGTAATCTGGAGAGGTTCTTGCTGTCAGTCACGCCTTTGGTAGCAGCGCAATATTTCCCCAAGGTTTAGCTTTATTTTTCTTCTAAATTTGGATCATTATGCATTTCGATGTTTTTGTGTAAGAATGAATTTATCAATAATTGTCCACCTTACCGTAAAAGATGCGTTGGTTATGATCACACTGGATACCATGACTGAAAATAATGGTTTGATGTTTATTTGTGAACTTCTTATTCTTGGGAACGCTGGATATCATTTTGAACACCAAAGTTCTGTTTCAGGATTGATGTGTTTGATGGGAAAATATTTGGAAATTTGCAGCATTTTTTAAGTCCAAGCAATAGCTGAGCAAGGGCAGTTACTTGTGGAGTTCTTAGCATAAGACTGAACACTTTCGATATTGGAAGGAATCTTATCGGTTGATTGAACGTGTAAAAAAGTTTGAAAGATTGTTAATAAAGCCTGTCAATGTTGCAGATGAAAGCGAAGATTTGGAAGACAGGATTGGAGTTTCAGCCATTCTTTGTGTTAAGTGATTTGTGGGACTCTTTTAAGGAATGGAGTGCATATGGAGTTGGAGTACCTTTGATATTGAATGAACATGATTGTGCAGTTCAGTTTTATGTTCCATATCTATCAGGCATTCAATTATATTCGGATCTGTCAACGAGTACATCAAAATTAAGGTATCTATCTGCCTTTTAAGCATCAACTGTGTTAGTAGTTTTAATTTCATTCAGCCTGTATGGGTTGATTAAGGTCAAGATTTTTAAGCATCCTTGTATTTGGAAGGGCTCCAACTGTGTTCTTGTTTTTTTAACTTTTCCGAATAGGTAAAAGATATACAGTAGCTTAAGTGATCTAATGCTTATGCTTATCAATAGTAGTTGTAACTTGCCTGCATTTCATTACTATAGATCTACATAAAAACATTTCATTATCTCTATATGCCTTTTTATTGTTATTGTTTGAATATGGAGTGAAACCATTTCAATGGCCCCTTTCACCATGCTGAAACTAATGCTAAGAGCTTTCGAAAGTCATTGTGAGATTAAGGGAACTATAACAAAAAACATATCAAAAGGTTGAGCCTTTTGCCCTGAAAGAAAATAAAGCAGTAAACAAACGAAGCTCCCTACCCAATTCTTACTGCTCTTGATGTGGTAGGCAACATGGTGAAGAAAGTGACAGTGAATACTTGAGAGATTCGTCTAACGATGGAAGCAGCGACAGCGAACGAGAAGGCTTTTCTAGTGATGAAGGTGAATCCAGAAGTTCATCAGGTTGTTTGTTTGAATATCTTGAACGGGACCAACCGTATTGCAGGGAACCTCTGGCAAACAAGGTATCTTTCTATCTCGTGCTGAATACATCGCCATTTTCTCTATCATATAACTGTCTTACGTTCAAATGGACAGATATACAACCTTGCTGTCAGCTTCCCCAAACTAAAAACACTCCGGAGTTGTGATCTACTCCCATCCAGCTGGCTTTCCGTTGCCTGGTATCATCCTTTAAGCTCCAAATGCATTTGTTCTTCGCGCAGTTACTGATTTCTGCACCGTGATATAAAAGCAACGGCTGTTTTTGTAGGTACCCGATTTATAGAATACCAACAGGTCCAGCTCGAAGAGATCTCGACGCCTGCTTCTTAACCTATCATTCTCTCCACACACCCCTGACAAGTAACAACCTCTCTCTCCCCCTGTAGTGTTAACATTTTAATCCTGTTTCTTGTATATGATCTTCCCTTTACGATATTTCCAGCTGGCGAAGCTACGCATACAGAGGGCGACGGTTTCCCACAGCTTTCTCTTCCAGTGTTCGGCTTAGCATCATATAAATTTAAGGAAAAATTGTGGATTTCAAACGGCGACCATCACCGTCAGCTGGCAAGATCTCTCTTCCAAGCTGCGGATAATTGGCTAAATGTTGTCCAAGTTCATCACCCGGATTTCTCCTTCTTCTGCCGCAAGTAAAAGTAAGTTGTTGATTTTAGCTTTCCTCCTATTGTAGAATGGTTTAGAGGATTTGTAAGATCAAGATGTCTGCGATCCATGAAACTCGAAAAATTTAATAATGTCTACGTTGCATTAGTTAAGTTCAACTTGTCCATTTACTAATTCCTACAGTATCCTTTCTTTAGAACAATCAGATTACTTACAACTGCAGTGTCTGACCATTTCATTTTCATTACAAAAATTGCAGAAGAGCTTTGATCCACACAAAGCTGATTCTTCAGCACAATGCCTTGAGCTTCCGGTTCAATCCCTCGGCGCACATCTGCCCCATCTTGCCGTAGGAGGCTGCCATGTGTGTAGCTGCTCGACAAACATCTTCTCCAGCACGACCTTGTCGCCGGCCTAACTTCAGCCTGGTTCAGCAACTTTTCTTGCTACAGGCTCATTGCCTGCAATAATGTCTTAAGCCTATACTTCAAAGTGAATATCATAATTAAATGGCAATATTGTTCATAATCCACTTGTGATTTTAAAATTCGATACTATACTATATGACTTAGAAATTACACACAAGGTCCCTAGTGTTTTAGAAACTATTCTACAGAATTCCCTAAATACATAAGATTCTTCATATTATATAAAATATATTGATATAACATAATGTATGATACACAGTAACTAACTGCTGACGGTAATAGTCCATACAATATGGAGTATCTTTTAATAAAATTGGGAGAACGTATCTATATGACTGCAGTTTTTCAAACTATTTCGGTAATATTTTTCTTGTCATATTTTCAATATATCTGTCAACTTTATATCCGATTTTGAGTAAATTTTATTAAGAAGGGATCCGAGTTTTGTTTTTCAAACTATTCCTGTGATATTTTTCTTGTCATATTTTCAATCTATCTATCAACTTTATATCCGAACGAACTCTGATTTTGTTAAAAATAGATTCCCGCTTCCAACATAAAATTAGCCAAGTGATAGGTGGAATGACCCTTCAAATATTTTCTCAATATGGGACGGGACATATTCAACATTACCTTCCATGGTACTCTCATAGTAGGTACTTTCATAGTGATAAAACTTGCTTTGTCGGTCTAATTTGCAGAGTATCAGGTTCAGTTGAAAATTTCCACTTATGCAAACTTTTAGTACCGGCTGGAAAAAGAAAAAAAAGAATTATCGTCATGTTTGACGCCCTGACCTAGCTAATTATGAAGCCTCCCTTACGAAACTTGAAAACATCCAATATTCTCTTGCATCACACACACACATTTCCTTACCAGATCTGTTTAAAGTTCGACTTAGACCAAATATTAGTATTAATTTTTTGACAAAGATTTATTCCCATCATTCTAACTGTCTTTTCTCATTCATATATAGTATTAATTTATGTATAAATAATTAATTAATTACCCTTAATCCAATCCAAGTCACAAACTATTTGATATCAAAAGACAGACAGACATCCATCTCAAAATCTAATCAACACTTGAAACAAACACAATTTAATTAACTAAAGCAGATCGAGCCACGATACAGCAACCAACCATACAAACCCATAATAAACATTCCTTTTCTCTCTCTTTCACACACACACACACACACACACTCTCTCTCTCTCTCTCTCTCTCTATATATATATATATGATATGTTGTATGTATATATATATGATAATCACACACACATACATAAACACAGACGAAATATAATGCAGAAAATTAAATCAAATTAAATTGGATTTCAGCATTTGGGGAAAGGGGTGCGACAGTAGCTAGCCACTTTCTGGGCCCCCGCAGACTTGACGAACTTCTGCAAATTAGGGTTTCTCATGTAGCCACAAAGGCACGGCCTTTGCTCCTTCACCCTTTGGCAGCACAGCTTGCTAGGGTTCTCCGACGACATGATCGCCTGCGCGCAGGGGCTCAGCTGCATTGGGTTGCAAGTCACCGCCGTCGCCACCTCTACGCCGCCGTCGCCATTGATGTTCAGTGCCCACAAGAGCACCACACAGTAAACTGCAGCTGCTGATTTAAACCCCATTGATTGAATTATATGATTTGATCTGATCTGAGGGATTTGTTAATTAATTGATTGATTGATTAATGGTGGGATGGATGAGAGGTAGAGAGAGAGAGAGAAAGAGAGAGTGGTTTTTTATGATGGAATTGTGTGGGGTTGTAGCCTCTATTTATAGAGTGAGAAACAGGAAAAAATAGGGTCTTGAAATGTATATAGAAATTCTTTAATTGATTTTTCTTTTATTTTTTTTTGAATTGGAGTCTATTTTTGGGATTTCATTCACATGAATTTGTGACATGACAATCCTAAAATAGTCGATGGTGTGTATTTTCTTGATTCTGTGGTCACGCACAATCACATGCACCTTTTGAAATTTGATATGATATATTACACTAAAAGACATTTCATTTTGTTTGATGCCGTGGCTTGTTTGTATTTTTAAACTTGTATTTGCATTCGGTGTGAAATATTTTTTTAAAATATTTTAGAATGTGTTTAGTATAGAAAATGAATTGCAAAGATGATAAAGGCAATAGTAGAGAATAATTTTTAAAACATATATTTTTTATTTTTTTTTGGATAAAACAGAAAATTCAATAAAAAAATAATAATATAATTTAGATATATATTGATTGAGATGATATTTTATGTTTCATATATGGGTGAAAAAAAAAAAAAAAAAAAGAGAGTCTGAGAGAGAATGAATCAACTAGTAAGTGACAATAACTTAACTAAAAAGTATTTCAATGGAAACTTCAAAGAAATATTGTTTATATGTTTAGTTTGTGATTTTTTATTTTTTATTTTTTTTATAAGTTGAATTAGATATTTTTGTAAGAGATAGTATTATATTTTTATAGATTTTACAAAAAAAATTAAATAGTAGGAAAAAATTGTCAAATTAACATACTCTACTGTTAATTTTCTCATTTTTTATTTCTCTTTATTTATCCGATAGAAAAATAAAATGTTTATTTCTCAAGTTCAAAGCTTCTTAATCAAACAAATAAGATAAATTGAGATATCTCTATTTCTTTATACTACACATATCGGTTTGTTTGATTTTGCCTTTTGATTTGAGTTCCAAATAGTAAAATTGTAAAATTAAATAGTTATTTGATATAATATAAATAAGTATCGTGTGATGCTTTAAATTTAAAATTAATTTTATTTTATAAAATTAAAAAATTAATATTTGATTAGTACTTTCTCCATTCCACGTAAGATAAAATATTTGATTTTCAGTATGAAAATATAAATAAATAGTATTAAGTAGAATAAATCAACATGTATAGAGTGCTCACCCATGCTGATAATTAAAAATTGATAATATATAATTATACGTGAGATTTTAGTTTTAAATTTTATTTTAAATAACAAATTTTCAATTAAATTAATTATTTAATATAATATAAATATATATTGTTGTAATTTTATTTATTTATTTATTTTTAAAGTATAGATTATTTTAAAAAATATAATATAATATAATATAAAGTCAGACAAAATATACACAGTTTTAGAAGCAAACATAGCCACGATGTAGAAAGAAAAAAAATGAGCGAAGAGAATAATGAAAAGGCGTGTGGAAAAGAAAAAGGTTTAAGCCAGAAAGTCTATGCAGAGTCATCATGATGGATCATCACCATCATCATCATCATCATCATCATCATATTTCATTGAGCCATACTAATGCGTGCGTGACAACACTAATCATCATCCCCACAAAACAAAATCTGGGTAATTTAGATTATCAGATTTTTTAAAGTTTTGAAGTTTTATAAAACAAATAATAGTAAATGTGATACTCCCTCCTTGCCAAAATTATGCTCCCTCCCTTTGTCCATTTACAAGGGTTACATTTACTTTTGGCGCGGTGTTTAAGAAATAATAGTATTTTAATTATAGTGAGTAGTTAAAAGTAGTATAACGACATTTTTATCCTTACTTTTTTGTGTAAAAGTAATAATGTGATATAAAGTAAGGGTATTTGTGGAAAAAAGTAGGGTATTTAATGAAATGTAAACTTTGTAATTGGACGTCCCAAAATAGAAACATGTAAACTTTGTAAGCGGACGGAGAGAGTAATTTGTATTGTATTTCACATGAGATTTAAAGAATATTAATATTATATTAGTTGAGTAAAAAATACAGATAAAAGATTTTTTTGCTCTTGTGGGTGTTTCAGTGTAAAAGTAGTGACAATTGTGTAATAATAATGAAATGTAAAAGTAGTTTTATAGCGATGTGGTTATTTATGGAAATGATATTATTGTTTTGGGACGGACAAAAATGATAAACAAGACTATTGTATTGGGACGGAAAGAGTATTTGTTAGCAATAATTAAATTTGTACATGTCTATGAACATGCTTAAATATGAGTAATTCAGCGAAAGCAAATACTCCCTACGTCCCATAACAAAGTATCTATTTTTCTATTTTAGTCCGTGCCGTAACAAAATATTCATTTTTTTTTAGTAACTGTACTATCTACCTAACATTACAAATACCCTTACAATTTACAATATATTACACAAATGTCATTACCTTTATATCATACATACTAATAAGGTTATTTTAGTCATTTTTATTTTATTCCTACTATATCCTAATATAATACTAATATTTCTAAAACTACGTGCAAAAAATAAATGAATATTTATTTATAAGAATGAAGGAATATAATAATTAAATTAAATTAATCTTCGGTCATTGCTTCAAAATTGATTCTGAATTTCGTATCTCCTTCTTTAATAAGTTAAAACTTTACGAATTGTTGCCAAATCTAGGATCTCCATATGGATATTTTTTATATTTTATTTTTATTTTTATTTTTATATTTTAGTTTCATATTTTTAATTTTTTAAAATTTTTAAAATATAACAAAATAAAAATTATCCATGTGGTGAACATATATCCGCGGTGTAACATAGATATCGAGGCTAAAATGTGGAAAAAAAAAAAAAAAAATTCACTTTCAAGGCTATTTTAATACAGTCATCCGTTACGGAATAAAATGATTAAAAAATTTAATTGCGAGAAAAAAAATTAATTTACTGTACCAGTAATAATAATAACAATAATAATTATAATAATAATGAAAATGTGGGCCAGTCATCATTTTGGGCATGCGCCGCTAGCCCACTTACTCAGGTTTTATTATTATTATTATTATTTTATGACTTGAGGGCAGGACCTATTAAATCATTCATTTCCGTAAATTTGTACAAAATAATCATCATCATTATTATTATTATTATTATTATTATTTTTTAATAAATACTTGTATATGTGTCGGTGTACAAATTCGAGTTCAATTTGCACTTTTTTTTATCATTCTAACAAAGGTTATAGACAATATATATATATATACTCCTTTCATTTAAATTTATGTATAATTTATTTGTAGAAAATAATCTTTATTTATTTATAATTTTATTATATTTACTTTTTTAAAAAATAATAGATCTGTCATTAAATTTTATTATATTAAAACATTAAAATATTACCGTTTTAATTTATGTGTTACGACAGAATGACATAACAAAAAATCCTAATGGATATAATAATACTGTCCTTTGTCCCTTAACAATCTATCCATTTTTTTTACAAATAACCTTTTAATTTACAATATATTTCGCAAATGACATTACATTTCTATCATACAATACCAATAAAGTTACTTTAGTTTTTTTACTTTTTTATTTCTACTATATTCCGATATAATTCTAATATTTCTAAAACTTCGTACAAAAAAAAGGATAAATAAATAGATATGAGACGGATGAAGTATATAATATAGAGGCTGATCCGAGCTGATTGGGCCTAATCACCATATACAATATAGCATATTTATACCATAACATATGTTATATATGTTGTGTTATGTAGAAATATGTGATGTTTATCTTTATTATATTCTCTCTGTTCGAGTCCTATGTAACTATTTTGTTATTTCCGTATGTCCAACTCAGATGTATCTTTTTTCTTTTTAGTAAAATTATTTTCTATACTAATAAAAAATACTTTACAAACAATTTCATTAACAAATTATGAATTTAAGAGAAAATTGATCTTTTTATCTTTTTATTGTACTATTAGTTATAAAATATTAATATACTAAAATAAATATGTAAAAAGTAAATAAATACATATAACTAGAACAGAGAATATATATGCTAACTTGACTTAATCAATGGAGAATCCGCATTCATTTAGGAGTACTATTATATATATATACATAACATTAAAAGTCCACAAAATACATAAAATATTAGAATGTGTTTGTTTTGTATTTTTTTGTTTGAATTTTTTTTTTTTTATTATGTGAGATTTAGGAAATTAAATAGATAATATAAAAATAATAAGGATATGTAGTATATTATTATTTTTTTTAATATATTGAAAATATTTTGTTAAAAAAATAAACCCAATTCTTTATAATATTTTTTATAAATTTCCATAATCATAATAAAAACACATAAAATTATAAAATATTCCCTCCGTCCCATGTAATATGGGTGTATTACTGTAGACACGAGAATTTAGGTAAAGTATAATTAGTAATTAATTAGAAAGTGTATTAGTAAAAATAATTATAGATTAAAATTAAAATAACAAAATAGTTTAATTAAGATTAAAAAAAATTAAATTTTAAAATATGATTAAAATATATAATTAATTTTTCAAAAAAGAAAATAATAAATTATGTGGGACAAACGAAAATAAAAAATAAAGACAAATGATATAGGATGGAGGGATTACTAAATAAACATACTCATATTGTATCGTGATTGTTGGCCAAATTTTAATTATGTAAAATATCATATTATATAATTTTTTTAAAAAAAAAATCATATCAACTATTCTTAATTGGTTATTATTTTAAGAAATAATATTCTGAAAATTTCTATTTAAAATCTTCATCCTCGATAAAATAAATAAATATTGAATTGCAAAAACTATCATATTTATTTCTAAGTGTTGGCTACTCTTTAATAAAGAAATATGAACGCACACTTGTTGAATATATAAAATATAAAATTGAAGAATGTTTCTGTGTAATAAAGTTGACAAGGATAATTAATACTCCCTCGTCTATCTAATATGGGTGTATTACTATAAAAACAAGAATTTAGATAAAATATAA